GCCAGGAACGACAAATTGAAGAGGAATGGCATCGCATTCATCATCAAGAAGAGCAATTCAAGATCTGTCTTGAAGTACAACACTGTCTGTGAGAGGATAATATACATTTGTTAACAAGGAAGACCAGTTAATGCCACTATTATTCAAATTTACACACCAACCACTAAAGCTAATGACAATGAAAACTTGAAGACTTCTTCTTCATGGCCAGCACCTTGCTTGAAGACTTGTAGTCTCCAGAACTGATCCAAGTGAGAGTCCCATGGACTGCCACAAGAACAAACTGCTCTGTGTTGGAAGAAGTACAGCCAGAATACTCTTTAGAAGCCAGGATGGCCAGACTTTGTCTCTTATTCTTCGAACATATTATCAGGAGGGACTGGTCCCTGAAAAGGACATCACGCTTGGTAAAGTGAAGAGTCAGAGAAAAAGAGGAAGATCCCCAGTGAGATGGATTGGCACAGTAGCAGCAGCAGTGTACCCAAGTGTAACGATTGTGAGTTTAACGCAGGATCAAGCAGTGTTTCATTCTGTTGTGCATAAGAGGGCTATTAGTTGGAACTGCCTCGATGGCACCTAATAACAACTGACTTCTTCAGTCTGAAATTGATCAAACATGCAATTAAGATTAATTGATAATTACTGGTAATTGGAATGCAAAAGTTGGGAACAAAGATGAAGGACCCCTCGTTGGAAAATATAGACTTGGTGTTAGAAATTATGTTGGAGATCTCATGGTAGCATTTTGTAAGACCAACAACTTACTCATTGCAAATTCCATTTTTAACATCATAAACGGAGACTATGCATGTTTATCTTACCAAATGTAATATAAAGGAGTCAAATTGACTACATCTGTTGGGAAGAGATGATGGAGAAGCTCAATATCATCAGCCCAAACTGGTGGAACCGACTATCAGTTGCTCATATGCACATTCAGGCTGAAGCTGCAGAAAATTAAACTAAGTAATTGAAAGCCAAAATATAACATTCACTATGTTGTTTGGTCCCATTGAGCTGGTTCTGACTCACAGCAAGCCTGTGCACAGCAGAATGAAACACTGCCCTGTCCCGTGCCGTCCTCAACAATTGTTACATTCAAGCCCATTGCTGCTGCCACTGTGTCAGTCCATCTTGTTGGGGGTCTTCCTCTTTTTCATTGACTTTTCACTTTGCCAAGCATGATGTCTTTTATAGGGGCTGGTCCCTCCTGTGATAACATGTCTAAAGTATGAGATGTGAAGTTTTGCCATCCAGGCTTCTAAGGAGCATTCTGATTGTATTTTTTCCAACACAGATTTGTTTGTTCTTTTGTCAGTCCGTGCTACAAAAGACCACTTTAAAGTGTTAAAGAGCAAAGATGTCAGTTTGAGGACTAAGGTACACCTGACCCAAGCCATGGCATTTTCAGTCTCCTCATAATGCATGTGTAAGTTGGTCAGTGAATAAGGATGACCATAGAAGAATTGATGCTTTTAAATCAGGGTGTTGGCGAAGAATACTGAAAGAACCATGTACTGTCAGAAGAACTTTACAAATCTGTCTTGGAAGGAGAGCAGCTTGAATGCTCCTTAGAAGCAAGGATGGTGAGACTTTGCCTCCGGTACTTTGGGCCTGTTGTTAGGTGGAACCAGTCACTGGAGAAGGACATCATGGTTGGGAAAGTAGAGTGAAAAGAGGAAGGCCCTCAACATAATGGATTGACACAGTGGCAATAGTAGTGGGTTCAAACATACCAGTTGTGAGGCTCACGTAGGACCGGGCTGAGTTTCATTTTGTTGTGTATACAGTTGTGAGGATCACGTAGGACTGTACTGAGTTTCATTTTGTTGTGCATACAGTTGTGAGGATCACGTAGGACTGTACTGAGTTTCATTTTGTTGTGCATACAGTTGCTATGAGAGAAACAACTCGATGACCTCTAATAACAGCAAATTTTTATGAAAGCAGACTCCCACATCTTTGTCCAGTGGAACAGCTGGTGGGTTCAAATTGTTGACCTGTTGTTTATTAGTTCAATGCTTAACCTCCTGGGCCATCAGGGCTCCTAGAGTATTTAAATAATTCTCAAAACTCACCTATAAGAAAGCCAATAACCCAATTTAAAAATGGGCAGAAGTCTTGGAGAGAAACAGTGCCAACAGGGATATATGGATTGCGAATAAGTGCATGAAAGCATATTCAATATCATTAGCCTTTGTTGGTGGTGCTGTTGTTAAGTGTCCTTGAGTTGGTTCTGACTCACAGTGACCCTGTGTCGGATTTCTGAGGAGTGGCTGGTGGGTTTGAACCAGCAACTATAAATTGTTGCTGTTGTTGTTAAAGTGCCGTCAAATCAGTTCCGACTCAGTGATCATGGATAGAGTTGCCAAGGAGCAGCTGGTGAGTTTGAACTGCTGACCTTGTAGTTCAAACCGACCTTAGGGTCCAGTGCTTTAACCAACAGCACTGAACCAGGATTCCAGGAAGTATAAATTAGGGAATCATAAATTAAAACCATGAGTTATCACCATATACCTATTTGAATGGCTAAAATGAAAACTTGGGCCGATAACCGACTGTTGGCAAAGTTGTGGAGAAACCAGAGCTCTTTTACATTCCTGGTAGGGAAGAACAAGGGTACAGATGCTCTGGAAGACAGTTGAGTAGTTTCTTATGAAATTGAACGTCTGCCTGCCATATGATCCGGCAATCCTACTTCCGCATACCATATTTAATGAAACAGTGCACTCACACATAAAATGTGCATAGTGTTCTTTGAAAAATAACTTACTAGGGGGTTGTATGGTCGGCAAAATGTGCAGCATGTGTTATTTGTGTAAAATATGGTGAAAACTTAGATTCACGCAAAAACCTGCATACTACCGTCTCATTTCAGCTCTTGTAATGAAACAATAGAGCTCCTTGAGAACTCAGAATTTCTAAAACTGGCAGCGCTCCCCTGGCCTTGAGGCAGATAGGGCAGAAACAGGCCTCACAGGTGGTGGGTACTGTATGGTATTGTTAGTCCAACTCATACGGTCACACTGACCCTGTAATTGTTATCTAGTTTTCATGTGAGCGAACTAATCCGCTGTTTTTCCTTCTGTACTCCCTGCTTCAGCAAATTCCTTTAGATAAGCCCCTAGATACCCAGCCAAGAACTTAGCATATATAAACTAGCAGCCATTTCCCTACGGCTCGGCAGGCCTGGGAGAATTCATTGTCTCCTGCCATCCGGCTATAGATGTCTGTTGTGCCAATAAAATTCTCTAAATTGGACACTATAGTAATCATCATCCTTCTTTGGGACTTGAACCCGTAACAGTAATAATCACAAGATTCCTAGATGATGCACACAGTTTGTGTTTTCCACTGCTAACCTGAAGGCTAGTGGTTTGAATTCACCCAGCAGCACAGCAAAAGAAAGCCCTGGCGATCTGCTTCCATAAAGGTTATAGTTGAGAAAACTCTACGGAGTGCAGTTCTACTCTGTAACACACTGGGTTGCCGTGAGTTAGAATTACCTTGATGGCAGTGTTTCTAAAATTTTGTTTATAATCAACCAAATTGAAAACAAGCCAAAAGTTCTCAGATGGTTGAATGGGTAAACAAACTATGGTACTTCCATATTGTTCTTAAGTGCCGTCGAGTTGGTTCCGACCCTTAGTGACCCTGTATAGGGTTTCCAAGGAGCAACTGGTGAGCTTGAACTGCCAACCTTGCAGTTCATATGGCTTTGCAGTCTGGCGCATTAACCCACAGCGCCACACCAAGACTCTAGTACTTGCATATGTTGTTGTTGTTGTTGTTAAGTGCCATCGAGTTGGTTCCAACCCATAGCGACCCTGTACAGGGTTTCCGAGGGTGTAAATCTTTACGGGAGTAGAAAGCCTCATCTTTATACTTGCATATAGCATAATGTTATTCAGCCTTACAAAAGAATGCCCTGTTGCTGCTTGCAACTGTTGGAGAAATCTGATTGACACCATGTATGAAAGAAGCCAGCCTCAAAAGTTTTATATGGTGGCAATACCAGAGATGGAGGCAGAGATGCTGACATGGAGAGATGGAGTGGTTGGGGACTCTGGACTCAGGGAGGGAGAAGGGTTGTGTGTGGGCGGTTGGGGGACAGGCTTCCAGGGTGTACCCTTTGGTTTGAATGGTTATATATTCCCGAGTACGTCAGGGTACATCCCCCCAACTCCTACCCTCCAAAAAAAAACAACAACAAAAAAACCCCAGAGGGAATGGAAGCAAATGCTGTTGAATGATGACGCATGGAGGGGATTGTAATCATTACAATGAAATGAAATACGATAGGATGAATGTAAAACTGATGTTCTCCCATGTGAACTATCACTCAATTCACAATAAAAGCTTAAAAAAAAAAGGATACAAAAGGAAAGAAAATATTAATTGTCCTTCTAAAATTTAAACGAACTTAACTTCATTTGTTATTGAGAACTAGTAATAGTATAATAAAATATTAAAAAGCTACAAAAAAAAGTTATATATGGTATGACTCTGTTTATATTGACATTCTCCAAAAGATAAAAACGAGTTGGGAGCATATGATTATAAAGGGGAAGCCCAAAGCACCTTAATTTCAGACTTGTAGCCTCCAAAACTGATATATTTGTATTGTTTTAATGCAGTCCCATTTGTGGTACTTTGTAACTATGTGTGTTAAAACGCAGAATCAATTTTACATAGGTTAATTGAAAGAAAACCAACATTCAAACTGGAGTCATACTGTGATTTTTACTCGTGGAAGAGGCATTCCATAGTAATACAGCTTTCTGGGATTTTAATTCCACAGCTGATTGTTTTCTGCTGAGAAAATTACTTGAAAATTACTAAGAACCTGTGACTTCAGAAATCCTTGGCTTTCCCTAGACTTCGTGTTAAGTGCTGGGTGAACTGCTCCTGGCTGGGATATTGTAACAGAAGAGTGCCGATGAAGGAGTGTGCAGGCTCCCTTCACAGGGCATCATTGTTCTCACTGTGGTTCATGGCAGGTGAAGCAGGTGGAGTCGGGGACAGTGCAGTTCCAGTACTCACTCAGCCCAGAAGAACACTTGGACACATCTCCCGAGCAGGCTGTCAGTACCAAGGCAGAGCGACGGCAGCCCTCCAAGAAGCCACCCACGTCCCCTTCAAGTAAGTGTTTGCAGAAAGCTCACTTCTCAAGCACACAGCATGGTTTCCATCTGTTCCCAGGGAAAGAGACCCAGTCCAGTATAATGATCATCAGACTTATAAGATAATTACCACAGATTGCTTTAGCTGGAATCGGCTGAGTTTTTGCTTAATATTGAGATGTAGAATTGGCTGCAAACAGCAAAGGCTGTCAGCAGCGCTCCAGCCCCTGCCCTGTGGGTGGTGACATATTTCACATGCATGTAGGTGGTTAAAGAGCTGTTGCTGGTTATTAGTTTAGCATCTGCTTGGCTGGCGTGGCTCTGGCATGGCCAGTACCTTGTGTTCAGTGCCTCTCAGTGTGTGCAAGAAAAACCCCCACAAAACCAAAAATCAAACCTGTTGACCTGTTGCTGTAGCGTTGATCCCAATTCATAGGGTCCCTCCAGGGGAGAGTGGAACTGCCCCATGGAGTTTCCAAGACTGTACATCTTTAGAGAAGTAGATCGCCACATCTTTTCCCCGTGGATTGGCTGGTAGGTTCGAGCCACTGCCTTCCAGTTAGCAGCAGAGCACTTAACCACTGTGCCGCCTGAAGAGTTCCTTAGTTTATAGCTAACGATGGCCTAAACAGGTATTCTCGTTGAGAATTCCACTTATTGCAAGAGGAAGAGTAGAATTTCAAAGGTAGTGTGTGAGAAGTTCACCCTGACCTGACTGAGTAGTGAGCCTTTGGCGCTGGGCTCCTGGAGATTTAGTCAGCTGAAAGAATGTTCTAGAAGCCCTAGGTCATGGGACATTAATGTCTTCTGTCTCCTGCTTCCAGACAGAAAGGTAGGGAATGAACCAATGTGTAAGCCTGTCAAGAAGAGGCTAGTGTTTGTCCATCTTGCCAGCTTTTGTACAGTGAATAATATGCAGATCTCCAGGGAGGGTTTTTCCTTATTTATTGGTTAATTGATTACTGTTTTTTTTTTTTTGCTGGGGTTCCTGGGTGCTAGTGTGAGAGGACTAGAGATTCTGTAATTTGGGAATGTTTGTTTTTCCTGAGTTGAGATTCATTTATAGGAACTGGTTTTGTCACATTTAATTTTCCAACTGGAGGGAGCAGAGCACTTGTTTCTTCGGCCTGGAACTTGACGTACTGATCTCCCTCACAATGGTTTTCTAACATATCTAAAACCATTCAGCTAGCAAGACTTAGTAGTTGATGGCTTTGTAACAAACCACACCACTAAGTATTTTCCTTCTTTTCAAAGAGTCCATTTGATGGCTTTCATAGTTTTGTTCTTCCAGTTTTTTAATGCCGTGCTTACCGGGTTATTGAGATTTGCTGGCTAACACCAATGTGTACATTAATAGTCGCATCTTCTATAAGTGGTATTGAAATGCACAGCACCCCCTGTACTTGAGCTACTGCCAGAATATCTGCTAGAATCCCTCGCAGTGGTGGGTGGTAGGCATGTATTTTCTGTCAGTCAGTTTAGAAAAAAATTCCAAATGTATTTGATAATGTTGAAAGTATTGGAGGCATAGAATATATAGTTTAAAAATAGGAAACAAAGGGTCAGATTTATTATTAACACATCCCCTGCTTTAAATCTAATGTTTTTCCCTCTTTGACATGTATTCTCAGTTCCACTTAAAAAATAAAACAAAAGGAATTTGCGAGACTTTTTTTTTCTTTACACAAAAAAGTTTGGCTAAGAAATGATCAACTATTTCAATTATGAACTAGTTAAGTTTGAAGGGCTTATTTTAAAGTTATTTTGGAACCGACTTGACGGCACTTGACAACAACAACAATAAACTATGAAGGAGCACAGGGGCTCCATAGGATAGACGCTGGACTGTGACCACAAGATTGGTGGTTCGAGCCCACCAACCACCAGTGGGAGAAAAATGAAGCTTTCTGCTTCTGCAAAGATTAAAATCTTGGAAACCCTACACAGAGTCGTTATGAGTTGAAACTGACTTGATGACACTTAACAACAACAACAACATAAACTGTGAGAAGAGGGTCCAGTTTACTTGATTTTTTTCTGGCCTGGATCAATTGTGGTTGTTGTCTATGAGCTTTTGGCATGGCTTTCCTAGTTGCTCTTGTATTCATGAGGACGTTTCAAGATTTAAAAACTTGTCTGCTGCTGCCGACATTTCCCCAGAAATGTCCTTTAACTGGTTTCATGCTTGAGGTTCATTGAGCTTCTTGAATCTTTAGGTTTCTAGTTTTCATCACATTTGGAAAATTGTTGGCCATGAGTTCTTCACGTATTTTTTTCTGCCTTGTCTCTCCTCTCTGCCTTGGGGATCCCTATTACACATATATTAGGAGTCCTGGTGTGGCGCTGTGGGCTCATGCATCAGACTGCAAAGTCGTTTGAACTGCAAGGTCGGTGATTCAAACTCACTAGCTGCTCCTTGGAAACCCTATACAGGGTCGCTATGGGTTGGACTCGACTCGACAGCACTTAACAACAACAACAACATCACACATTTAGTAGGCTGCTAGCTGTTGTCCCATAGCTCATTAATGCAGTGTCCCCCCTTTTTTTGTCTTGTTTTCCCCCTGCCCCCTGTGTTTCTTTTTAGATAATATCTGTTGCTATGACTTCAAGTCCACTAATCCTTTTTTTCTGCAATGTGTAATATGCCATGACTCCCACTTAGTACATTTTGAATCTAAGATACTGTGATTTTCATCTCTAAAAGTTAATTTTAGTTGTTAAGTGTTGTCGAGTTGAAAAGTTTATTAGGGGATTTAAGAAATAATTACTTTCTGTTCCTACTTAACATATTCACTTTTCCTTAGCTTTTGAACATAGGAAATGCAATTATAATTACTTTAACTCCCTTGTCCACTAATTCTACCATCTTTGTCAGTTTGGGGTCAGCTTCCGTCAGTTGATGTTTCTTCTTATCTAGGTTACGCTTTTCTGTTCCTTTGCATGCGTGGTGATTTTTGAGTGAATGCTAGACATTGTAAATTTAAATTTGTTGTTACTGAATGCTGGATATTTTTATAATTGATGAATATCCTTGAGCCTTGAAAGCAGTTTGATGCTTTTCAGTATTGCTTTTAAGATTTGTTAGATGGGACCAGATTAGCAATTGTTGTTAGTGCCATCAAGTTGGTTCCGACTCTGTATAGGGTTTCTGAGGAGTGGTTGGTGAGTTTGAACTGCCAGTCTTGCGGTTCAGACTGACCTTGTGGTCCAGTGCTTATCCTACAGTGCCACACTAGGACTCCGTTGTTGTTGTTGTTGTTAAATGCTATTCAGTTGGTTATGACCCAGAGTGACCCTGTATAGGGTTTCCAGGGAGTGGCTGGTGAGCTTGAACCACTGACCTTGCACATCATACTGATTTTGCAGTCCAGAGTATTAACCCACAGTGCTACACCTGGACTCCAGGACTCCATTATCCTAGTGTTAAGTATTCTTCCTTAAAATGCAGAAATGAGGAAGTAAAAGAGTTGAACAGAAAATTTCAAAAGGCAGCTCAAGAAGACAAAGTCAGATATTATTATGAAATGTGCAAAGAGCTGGAGTTAAAATACCGTAAGAGAAGAACATCCTCAGCATTTCTCAAGCTGAAAGAACTGAAGAGAAACTTCAATCTTTGGATGGTAGCAGGGAAGGATTTTATGGGCAAAATAATTGAATGGTACAGAATACATGAGAAGACAGAAGGTATACACAGAGTCACAATACCAAAAAAACTGGTCGATGTTCAACCATTTCAAGAGGTAGCATAAGATCAAGAGCCAGTGGTATTGAAGGAAGAAGTCTTAAGTTGCACTGAAGGCATTGGTGAAAAGCAAGGCTTCAGGAATTCATGGAATACAAATTGATACGTTTCAACAAACTGATGCAGCACTGGAGGCGCTCACTCATCTATGCCAGGAAATTTGGAAGAATTCATATTTATGCCCATTCCAAAAGAAGGTGACCTAATGGGATACGGAAATCATTGACTGGTAACATTAATATCTCACGCAAGTAAAATGTTGCTGAAGACAATTAAAACACGGTTGCAGCAGTGCATTGACAGAGAGCTACCAGAAATTCAAGCTGGATTCAGAAAGAGGATGTGGAAAGAGGGATATCACTGCTGACGTCAGATGGATCTTGGCTAAAAGCAGAGAATACCAGAAGTATGTTTACTTGTGTTTTATTGACTACGCAAAAGTATTTGACTGTGTGGGTCATAACAAACTGTGGATAACATTGTGAATAATGGATATTCCATAACATTTAATTGTCCTCATGAGGAACGTGCATACCTAGACAAAGAGACAGTTGTTTGAACAAAACAAGTGGGATACTGAATGGTTTAAACTCAGGAAAGATGTGCACTAGGGTTATATCTTCTTGCCATATTTATTCAGTCTTTATGCTGAGCAAATCATCTGAGAAGGTGGATAATGTGAAGAAGAATGTGGCGTTAGGATGGGAAGAAGACTTATTAACAACCTTGCTTGCTGGAAGCGAAGAGAACTTGAAATACTTACTGAGGAAGATAAAAGATTACCGCCTTCAGTATGGATTGCTCTTCCATGTAAAGAAAACAGAAATCCTTCCAAGTGGACCAATAAATGACATCATAATAAATGGAGAAAGGATAGAAGTTGCCACAGACTTTATTTTGCTTGGACCCACAAACACTCAATGGAAGCAGCAGTCAAGAAATCAAACGACACACATATATTAGGCAAATCTGCTACGAAAGATCTCTGTAAGTGTTAACGGATGAAGATGTCTGTCTGAGGACTAAGGTGCGCCTGACCAAAGCCATGGTATTTTCAGTTGCCTCATATGCATGGGAAAATTGGACAGTGACTAAGCAAAATCACAAAAGAATAGATGCATTTGAATTATGGTGTTGGTGACGAATATTAAAGAATTAGAAGAACAAACAAATCTGTCTTGGAAGAAGTACAAGCAGAATGCTCCATAGTCACGAGGACAGAGACTGTGTGTCTTTTCTTTGGGCATGCTGTCACTACATCACGAAGAAGG